AAAAAAAAAAAAAAAAAAAAAAAAAAAAAAAAAAAAAAAGGGGGGGGGGGGGGGAAGAATCACAGCTTTCAGCATTTTAAAACTAAATACAAGTGGTTCTGTCAAGAGTGGGTACTCCATAAATGTTTCTTTGACTTCATAACAATATTCATATTGAGTAATATTTGGTTACTGAAAAAGGCCAAGGATATATGTATGTAAGCAGCTTGGGATACTGTTGCTAAGTGTTTAAATATATCAGTATACCAATATGAAATTACTAATGTCATTTCCTTGTTTAAAATAAACCAGTGGATTTCCATTGTGTTGAGGATTTAAAAAAAAATTATTCCTAGGTATAAAATACTAAACCCTTAATGATCTGTTCCTTGCCAGTCTTTGCAAAGTTGTTATACATCTTCTACCCAGTGGTCCAGACATATCAAACTATTGGCTCTTGTTCTGTTGAGTGTTCAGGTCTCAAATTGTGTATAATATGATTGAGTAATCAAATATGTAACAGTTTATACTGTGCATATTACATTTTAAATTTAAATTTTTATTCTTTGAATTATAAAAGACATATATGCTCATTGTTAAAAATTCAAATGACATGAATAGGTGGAGAAGAGCAATCCTAGTCCTTTTACTAATGATAATCACTGTGATTAAGTTTCTGTATGAAAATTATTTTATTACAAGTCTAAAACTTTCTAGTCCCCAACACTTTAGCTTTTATGTTGACACAATTGTTTTCATAACAGGATTTTTTAAATGTAGGACTTCTTCAGGATTACCGTTATGGAATTATAGAAGAATAGATTGTATTTGCAATTTCCCAAATATAGTTTGTTCTCTTTTGCCTTTTCATATGTTGCTTCCTGTGCCTAGAAAAGCTAACCAGAATTACCCTCCTCTCCACCCCATATCAGCCTCTTGTATTTTATGTATGTCTTTCAGAACTCAAGTCAAACCTAATTTCTTCTAAAAAGCCATTCCTGATTCCTTGTTATTGATATTTATCTTACCCTACAGTAAGTTTGAATGTATAATGAAAAACAAATTACTCTTGACTCAGTGTCCTTCAATCGTAATGACTCACATCTTTGTGTATGTACAGATTTGAACTGTGTGTGTGTGTGTATGTGTTTATTTGATATATGCATGCAGGCTGGCTTTCAGTTATTTACAGGAGGCTTTCCGCCACCAAGTGTTTCTAGCAGAGAGAAGCCTGCTTTGACCTTGTGAATGGAATTGTTCTAGGATTCTTTTCAAGGGACCAAGATTCGCTTCCTTTCTCTTTCCTCCCAATGGCCACTTTCTGATCCCTGCCACACCTTTACTCTGATCTCAGGACCTTTGGCAGGTCTTACACTCCTGTGAACCACATGAGCTCCAGCTTCCTCTGTTCATTCTGAGCTTAGTTAGGTTTGGTACCTGGGGGCCCTAGGGATTTCCCTTACTTTCTGTAGAGGAGTACAGTTTGGGAGTTTGAGCAGTGTATTAGTTTCTTAGGACTGCCATAACAAATTACCACAAACTTGATGACTTAAAGCAACAGAAATGTATTCTCTCACAATTCTGGAGGCCAGAAGTCTGAAATCAAGATGTGGTCAGTGTTGGTTCCTTCACAGGGCTCTATGGGAGAATCTGTTCCATGCCTTTGTCCCAGCTTCTGAGGCTTGCCAGCAATTTTTGCTGTCCCTTGGCTTATAGCTGTATCACTCCGATCTCAGGCTCCATTGTCACCTGGTGTTCTTCCCTCTGTCTGTGTCTACTAAGCACATTTTCTTTTCTTCCATGACCATGGGATAAGAGGTTTCTGGTTTCTCTAAGAGACATTGATTTTAAGTGTTCAAATTTATAAATTTAAATTGTAGTATGTGGTCTATGTAAGCATAAAACCCAGACCTGCTGATTGAGTATTTTCACATTTTCTCAAAATTTACAACCCTCAAAAAGACAGTACTTTGTGTTTAAGCTAATTAGAAGTGTTTATACATTTTTCAAAAATAAAATTTAATTCTGAGTTTTTAATTTTCAGCCAGAAAACCTTGCTCAGAAGCTTCCAAACCTTGTGGAACTGTGAGTCTGTTTATTCAAATTTTTAAAAAGCAAGAATGAAAATAATTTTAAGTTATTTGAAATAACAGGATGTATCATTTTAATGTATTTATTTGTCAGTTTTTGGTATTGTGGTCATGGTGCTCATGTACATGGACCTGTAGTTCTGCTAAACCAAGTAGTATTTTACCATTTAAATTTGTGTTTTAAGTATCTCACCTTAAGGTAGTAAAGATGATGAAAGATGATTTTCTCTGGGTGTAGTGTCTTTTGTCACAGAATCTTTCCAGATAGTTCATGTAATTGGGAAAATCTATTATTATTATTATTACTACTACATGTGGTACTTGATATAAACAGACAGTATAAAATATTTAAAATATGAAGTAAAAGTCTCTTTTCCTGCATCCTTCACACTTAATTTGTTTTAGTTCTTTTGATGATTACTTCCATAATGCTAAATAATATGTCTATGCCTTTGTTTTTTAATGCATCAACTTCAAGTATCTGTTAATTTACCACTAAGAAAGCTAAATTTAGATATCTTATATTTCCCTGTCTTCCTAGCTGCCCCCTCGTTTTGTTGTAGGAGGGTTTGCATTGCTGTTTCTTGTTCACTTTGTTATTTGGCGTGATTTTCAGGAGGTAAGGGAAGAAAAGCTAACCTTATGGTTCTATCTTCACACTTGCAGTCTCTGCCATTTCCTTTTGTACCATCCTTTTATTTTGAAAAATTCAGAATAACAGAAAAGTTGAAAACAGTACCAGTACAATGAACACCTATATACCCTTCACCTAATTTAACCAAATGTGACATTTCACCACATTTGCTTTGTTTCCCTCCTCCACCTCTCCCTCTCTCCTCCTCTCCCTCTTTCCCTCATTCCCTCATTCCCTCTTCCCCACTCCTCTCTTTCACACACACATATTGCTTTTGTTCTCTTTGCACATATGCATATGTGTATTTTTCTGAGTTTTTGAGAGTTAGTTACATACTCATGGCTCTTTCTTTACTTCTAAATAATTCGGTGTGTATTTCTAAGAACAAAGATGTCTTTCCATTTTTTTAGGTCTGTGTTGTGTCCTTTAGGGTGCTTTATAATTTTCTTCATATAGCTTTTGAAAATTTCTAAAGTCTATTTCTAAATATTTAATTAATTTTTTTTTCTGTTATGAGTTTTCTTGTTTCTTATGTCTTCTAATTGGTTATTTTTTTCTATATATGAACACTATTGATTTATTCATGTTAATTTTATATTCCACTCTTTTACTGAAACCTTTCATTATTTTAGTAAGTTTTACCATGTATTCTCTAAGGTTTTCCAGGTATAGTCTCCTGTCTGAAAATGCAGAGAGTATTATTTCTTCTTTTCCATCTCTTATGCCTTTAATTATTTTCTCTAGTCTAATTGCATTGGCTAGTCCCTCCAGAATTATATGAAGGTATACTGGAGATCCTTGTCTTTTTTCTGACTTTAGCAGGAATGCCTCTAGGGCATTTTCCCTCTTAAGGAAGATGCTGTCTTTACAGTTAAGGTATATTTAGTCTATTTTATTAAGCAGATATTCATCTGTATTAATTACCTATTGCTGCTTAACAAATTAATTCAAAATGTAGTGGCTTAAAATAATAAACTATTGTATTTTCTGTGGCTTCAGAATCTGGGCATGGCTTAGCTGAGTGCCTTTGCCTCAAGGTCTCTCACAAGGCTGTAAAGATTGTTGGCCAGGGCCATGGTCTCATTTGAAGACTCAGCTGAAGAAGGATCCTCTTTTATGTTCACTCATGTGGTTGTTGGCAGGATTCAGTTCCTTATAGGCTGCTGGACTGAAGGACTTAGTTCCTTGCTGGCTGTTGGCCAGAGGATCCCCTCATTTCCTTGTCACTTGGCCTCTTTATAGGGTGGCTCACAACATAGCAACTAGCTTCCATCAGAGCAAGCAATAAAAGAGCAAGAGAGGCCATGGAAGACAGAAGCCACAATCTCTTTATAATCTAATCTTGGAAGTGACATCCCATCACTTTTGCTATATTCTGCTCAGGAGAAGAGAGTCACTTGGTATTCATTTCCTTGTGTAAGAGATCACACTTGAGGGGAGGCTGCTACACAAGGGCATGAATACCAACTAGCAGAGATCAGTGGGGACCGTCTTAGGGCTGCCTGCCACACCATTCATAACTGCTTTCCTAAGAATTTTACTAGTAATGGGTGTGGAATTTTGTTAAAGCCTTTTTCAGACTTTAAAGCTAAAGAAAAAGTCCTTGGGGCCTTCAAGCAATAAGGTGAAACAGTCACAAAGATGAAGACCGCAACATAATATTCCAAACTGAATTATGTATACAGTGGCTGTTGAATTTTGGCATGACAGTTTTTTCCTTTGAGCTTTTTAAAGGTATTTTCAGCTGTCTTTTGGACTCCAGAGATTCTCATGAAAAGTCAGTAGGATTTCAGTCATTTTCCACATGTATGAAATATGTCATTTTTCTCTGGCTGCTTTTAAGATTTTCTTTTTATTCGTAGTTTTCAGCAGTTTACCTATGATGTGCCATGTGTGATTTTATTTATAGTTTTCTTGGAATTTGCTGAACTTCTTGAATCTGTGAACTTATGTCTTTTAACAAATTTGGGATATTTTCAACCATTATTTTTTCAAATATTTTTCATGTACCATTCCCTCTCTCCTTTTTATATTTCATTTACACATATGTTAGACCTGTTGATATTATCCCACATACGTTTGAGGCTCTATTCTTATTTCCTTCAATCTTTTTTTTTCTCTGTACTTCAGATTAGATCATTTATGTTGAGCTGTCTTCAAGTTTAACCATCACCCATTGAGGACGTGTTGATTGTTTCAGGTTTGGGCTGTTATGAATATAATAGCTGTGAACATTTATGTACATGCTTTTTTGTAAATGTTTTCATTTCTCTGGGATAAATGCCAAGATTGCAATTGCTGAGTCATATTGTAATTACATGTTTTTTTTAATTGAGATATAATTCACATACCATAAAATTCAGCCTTTTAAAGTGTATGATTCAGTGATTTTTAGTATATTCACAAGGTTGTGCAACCATTATTGCTGTCTAACTCCAGGACATTTTCTTCACCCCAAAAGAAACCCATTAGCTGTCATTCCCACCTACACCCAATCTCTGGTATTCCCTTGGTAATCACTAATCTACTTTTTGTCTGTACAGACATGCCTGTTCTAGACATGTCGTCTTAATGGAATCATACCTTATGTGGTCTTTTGTATCTGGCTGCTATAACATAGCATAATGTTTTCAAGGTTCATCCGTGTTACAACGTTTATCAGAAATTGTTCCTTTTTATGGCTGAATAATATTGCTTAGGTATACCACATTTTGTTTATCCATACACCAGTTGATGGATATTTATTTGGGTTGTTTCCGCATTGTGCCTATGATGAATGCAACTGTGAACATTTATGTAGAAGTTTATATGTGAATTTTCAGTTCTCTGGAGTTTATACCTAAGGGTGGAATTGCTATGGTAACTCTATGTTTAACTTTGAGGAATTGCCAAACTGTTTTTCAAAGTGGCTGGATCATTTTACAGTTCCACCAACAGTGTGTGAAGGTTCTAATTCCTAAACATCCTCAACACGTTATTTTACATCTTTTTGATTATAGTCATCCTAGTGGGTACAGAGGGCTGACTGTACTTTATGAGGATTTATTTTTGACATATAATGAATAAAATGATAGGTTTGAAAAGAAAGTTTACTGAAATCTAGTTCTATTGTTTCAAAACCAATGATATAAACTTGTTTTCTTAAATTATTACTGTAGGATCTCCAGCAGTTGCTCTTGTTTTGCTCCTAATGATTGCATAGTCTCCACCAGAGTGTGCTAAAGATACTTCAGTGGGAAAAGTATTATTATACTTGCTTGAACTTGTAAGCCTCGGCAAATTTTTTTTTTTTTTTTAGAGAAGAGTTTGATTTCTTGTTTATGAAATTCCTTTTCCCGTGAAATAAATTCTGTAACTTGACAGTTGAGTATTTCTGCAGATACTGAAAATGATGAATATTTAACTTGTCCATTCTTTGTTCTCAATAAGCATGCCAGCTGGAAAGATCTGGTTGTTTTTTGAGGTTATCCTTTAGAAACTAAAATATGCATCTCCCTTTACACAGCAGGTATTGATTTTTCTTTACACAATATATGTATTTCTGAAATCCTGAATAATTTAAAATGAACTGGAGTATTTGTTTTGTGAGGTTAAAAAAATACTACATAATTGATTTATTATATATGCTTTTATGTTAAAATAGCAACTAAATCAGTATATAGATTTAATATTTACCATTCTATCATAAAATATTTTTTCAGAGTATTATTAATTAGCTGTGATAACTGTGTATTTGTGTTGATGCATTAGAGTAGGGTATGAAAGTTTTTGCCCATTTATATTTGATAAATTTCTAAGTGAGCGTTTTATAAACTGACTACCTGGCAAAAGTACTGAACAATAACAGCTGTTTTTTTCTTTTTTCCTCCCAGGTACCTTCACTCAAATAACATCGTTGTGGTTCCAGAAGGTAAGTGTACTTACAATTTTTAGTTAGAAGATAATGTAGTTTAAGCTTTGCTTTATAAGTAGAACAAATTATCTCTTTGAACTTATTTTGCTTGGTGTATTAGGGAATTTTAATTATAAAACACCTTTAATTTACTAGTTAAAAAATTTTTCCCTCTAATAAGTTCAGTTAAGAATTATGATGAAATAAGTTATATCTAAAATGATTATAATAGGTAAATTATTATTAGATAAATTGTTGTTAGGTGAATAATAAAATAAATTCTAAATTTAATAAATCCAGTTAAGAATTTGGGTTAGATAGAAAAGACCTTGTGTATCATTTCTTGAATTATTTATTTACTGAGGCAATTTTACATTGTTTTAACATTTTTATTTGTGTTCTTTTTAAAGTTATTTTATCTCAAAGTAGAAGTATTTATCACTTTCATAAAACTTAGTTTGATCTATGTTTTTACTGTTTTGTGAGCATCTGAGACTGGGATATTAAGTATTAAAATATCTTAACTCAGAATACTTGCATTAGCGATTTGGCTTGTCACTTGGGTCACATTTCATTTTGCCTTTCCCTTTCTCTTTGAAGCCATTGGGTCCCTTGTAAAACTCCAGTGTTTGGATCTTAGTGACAATGCCTTAGAAATTGTTTGCCCAGAAATTGGTCGTCTGAGAGCTTTACGTCATCTTCGATTAGCTAATAACCAACTGCAATTCCTACCTCCAGGTAATCGTAGTCTATAGCACACAATAGTTTCTTGTCTATTACAGGTCTCTTTTTATTCATGTTCCTCACTGTATGTCTAGGCAATGGGCTATGAATATATTTGTAAACATTTGATTATTCATTTGTTTGAAGATGAAACTAAGGAATGTGGGTGAAATAAGACTGAGTCTTTCTTGTGATGCACACATAAGAAGGTAGCATTTATGTTTTTGATAGGACTACAAATATTACAATTGTACATTGCAGTTAATGCCCCTTCAAATCACTGCCCTGGTGAAATATTTGTACGAAGAGCTACTTCGGTTCTGAATTTCACACAAGAGAATTTAGGTGAACTTTGCATATCATTTTAATATCCAAAGGGCAGATATATAGTGTTTTCTCTCAATCTCCAGTGAAGTAACTGGTGTACATTAACCTTGATTCAATAAGGAATCGTACTGGAGTTTAGTAACACAATTTGTATTTGAGTCTTAGAATTGTCAGTTCTGCCTGTAGAACATCTGATTAAATTATCATGTACCTATAAACTAAAATCTTGCATTCTCTTGAGAGCCACCATTATACCCTTTAACTTTCTTGAGAGAAGCATCTAGAGACCTTCCTTTGTGAATCCAAACATTTTCAGATTCCATTGTCATATATCATTTCCCATATTAAAAAAAAAAAAGAACCATGTTTAAAAACTAGAAAAAGTATGTTTTAGGTATTACATGAAAGTTACTATGTATTCAAAATGAACAGAGAAAAATACAGATGTCTATTGGTGGGAGTATTTTTACTTAGTAACTCTTTTAGGAGTACCAACCAGTCTTTTAGTGTATCCGAGTGAAATGTATGACTCAAACAGAATTACAAATTACTCCTTGTTATAGAACTTCATGAGAAATTTAAGAACTATGCATGTTAAATCCATGAATGAAAAAGTCTATGATATTTCTTTGTGATTTTAAAAATATTTACAAAGTTTTTTCAAGTACAGAAATTTCTAAATGAAAACATAGTAACTGATTAATTTTTAGACTTTATGACTTTATATTCCAGCCTTACTATATAGGTTCAATACTTTTTACAAAACTGGTACTGGTATATCAGTGACTTTACTTAAAAAAATAATTTTTTAACCTCGTATATTTCTCCCAACTATAGTTAATACAAAAATTTCAACACAATGTAAGAATATGATTCATTAGAGTTTATTGTATGTAATCAGGCTCAATGGAGTTTCATCATTCTAGCTTTCATCAAGTTTATATAATCATATACCCAGAAAATTAGATTTTCTTTTGGAGATTGCCTGGAAAATGTATTAGTAAAGATAATACTTTAAATTTTTATAATATTTTCATATGTGAAACTTATGCAAGATATATTATAGACTCAAAATGCATGGATATAATGCTGTATTTGTAAACCCCTTTTTACATATAAAGCATAAAAATATGATTTTGTGTTAAACCATGATTCCGTGTGTTCTATTATTCTGTCTTTTACTCTAATATAAGAACATTTTGTGGAAGAATGTGGTCGTTTTCTTCCATTATATATTCTCAGAGGTTAAAGATGTACTTCTAATATCTTTGCCTCCTAATAACCAGTGAAGGGTATATGTTTCCTGACTACTTTCATATAATTTTTTATTTATAGATCATCCATTACACAAGAGATTCGAGGCATATACTTGTGATTTTATTTTCCTAGTTTTATTTCTATTGTCTGTTTTTGGTTTTGTTTTGAGTAAAATTATATACAGCAGTAGCTGTGTATTTTGAATAGGAACTTTTGACTGAGCCGTGTATAAGTTATTTTTCTTTCTAGGCTACCATGAGTAGCAGTAGACTAGGCCTTAGTAATAATTTGACTCACTTTATACATCTCATTATGAGGAATGTTATGATTTGAACAGGTAAGGAGCTAGGCGTATGTCCCCCAAGTGTTTCATTGGGTTTGGAGACGTGCTATGGAAAAAGTGTCCTAACTATAGAAAAGAAAGGTGAGGGACTGCCATGTCGTCTCCATTTGATGACAGTAGACACCAGTCGATAGCTCACTGATAGCCCCATCTATTGGGCCATGCTATTATATGCAGACTTCTTACATGTTACTTCCCTCAAAGGACTTAACATTTTACCATCTTTATTTGTTTGGTTGAAAAACCTTTGAATATAATTTCATATCCAATATTTGAAATTTGAAAAATTTTGTATTTATTTTTATTTATTTTTTTCGTGGCCGGCTGGTAAAATTTGAAAAAGTTTAAAACAACATTTGAAAAAATTAAAATATTTGAAAAGTTGAGATAGATATAGAGAGTTTTTGAATTAGGATCTAAGAATAGATTACAGGGCTTTCATGAACTCTCTTCTCTGTTGGTGTTTGTATGTACATAACTGCTATGCATGAAGAAGGTCCAATGTTTTTATCAGCCTCTCAAACAGATCCATGACTTGTATGGTTCATATCTATTGGGTTGCTTGCCAGTGTCCATTTTTCTGGGAATTTCCCTTTCTCCTATTCTGTTGGATTGCAGGTTACTGCCATTTTTCTGCCATATACCATTGCTTTCTCTCCACATTTGATTGGTCCAGGTGTGGATACCTGACCAAAGCAGGACCAGTCCTTTTCTAGGAATTTTGGAAGAGGCTGGTGGGGGAGAAGGAAAGAAAGCAGAGAAGACAGGAAAAAAATTAGTTTCTCTTTTTGTCTGGGCTACTGCACAACAGTATGTAATCTTGCGAGATGCTGGTAGTAGCCATGTGGACTGGGAGACAGAAAAAGAGAGAAAGATGAAGCAGAGAGAAAGTTCCCCGTCAACTTTCTTTAATATCCCAATCACTGGTTCTGTTTTTGAGGCCCACTGGCCCTGTGCTTAAGCTAGCTCTAGTTGGCTTTTAGGAATTGCATCCAAAAGAACACCATGTAACACAGCTGCCCCAGAGGCTTAAAATAGCTTGTCTGAGGTGTAGGATTAATTGTATATTGAACTCTCCTATTTACTTAACTGCTGTACTGTAATGTATGTTGAACTCTTCTATTAACAGTTATGCTTGGAAATTGCAAAAGCTATTGTTAATAGTAGGAAATCCAGGGCTAGTAGTAGCATGATCAGCAGTTATGTCTGTGTATGAAGTGGTTCATTCTGTTTGCCCCGTGCACAAGTAATACAGTAATATTTGGAGAGGTTCATCGAACACTGGTATAGTGACAAGATGTGAGAGTGTGAAGATGATAGCCAAACACTCTTCTAATATCTATCACCATGGATTCATTTGATCTGTTGTTGAAATTAATATAAATGGAACCATGTAGTAAGATCTCTGTGTCTAGCTCCTTTCACTCAAAATAATGGTTTTGAGATGCATTCATGCTTTCGCATGGATCAGTCGTTCATTCTTTTTGTTGTGGAGTAGCATTCCATTGTATAAGTATACAGATGTATGTTTTCCTCTTGCTGGATGTGGATTTTTTCTTGTTTTGTTATTATGAATAAAACTAATAAACGTTCTTGTATAAGGCTTTTTTATGGACGTATGTTTTCATTTCTTTTGGGTACATACCCCAGAGTGAAAAATCTTGGTTCATCGGGTAGTATATATTTAACTTTATAAGATATTGCCCAGCAGTTTTTAAAGTGATTATTCCATTTTACACTCTTCTCCCAGCAATATATGAGAGGTCCAGTTACTCCACATCCTTGCCAAAATTTGGTGTTGCCTGTGTTTTTTTGTTAGTTTGTTTTTATATTTTAGTCATCGTAGTGGGTATGAAGTAATATTGTGGTGTTGTTTTATTTTGAATTTAATTTAATGTGCATTTCTTTCTTGACTAATGGTATTGAGCACCTTCCATATATTTATGGGCTATTCCAAATCTTCTTTTTGAGTTGTAGGGGGTATCTTTCTGCTTTACAGAACAGCTTCCACTTCTTTTGAATTTCTGAGGATTCTCTTTGCTTTCCAGTTTCTGCCCCTTGCTTTCTGTGCTTTGAGAGCTCTGCCAGCCCTGCTGTTCCATTCTCGGCCTGTGTAGGCTGACTATGGTTGCCCTGTACTTTGTGAAGGTGGGTATTGCCTCTGAGAAGTTTCTGTTGGCTTTCCTGTTACCTCCATCCCCCTAGTCTTCCCTAGCTAAAAGCCTCACGTATGTTGGGGAGATTATCTCAGCTCTCTTTTCTTACCCTCATTTTTGGTGAAGACTGGTGGGAAAGAGTGTGTGTGTGTGTGTGTGTGTATACACGGAATGGGGGGATTTGGCACAGCCTCTGTATCTGTGGCTCCTCTGGATTCTACACTGGTATGCCAGTCTACACATAGCCCTTCAAAGTTAGACTGATTTCTGTTTAACCCTTTCCTGTGGCTGATTCCTTGTTCTCGCTCTATTTCAGTCAGGAATGATAACAACTGAAGATTTCTTCTCTTTTAAAATGGGCTTGTCACTCTTTGGAGTTGGTCTCTGATGGGTTTTAAAAACGATGACTATGTAGCTTATACAGCTTGTTTTTGTTAGAGTGAAAGTGATGATTTCTTTTGCCTTTCTACCTTCAAATTGGAATTAAGTTCTCCTTGCTCCAAATTGTCTACCACAATTTGGTTTTCATCCTTCTGTGCCTCCTTTCTGTCTTCTTTTGGATTACTTGAGTGTGTTTTAGTATTCCATTTCAGTTCATCTGTTGGCTTTTTTCTAGGGTCCACAATATGCACCCTTAACTTCTTACACTTAGAATATTGTACCACTTTGTACAAATCTTTAGAACCTTACAATAGTATACTTCCACTTACCCTCCTTCCTTTGTGCTGTTGTATATATTTCATTTCTATATACGTTATAAAACCTGCAGCATAATGTTGTTTTTGAAAGTCAGTTGTCTTTAAAAGAAATCAAGAGAACAAAAAAGATAGTCTTTGTATTTACCCATATATTCACCACTGCTTGTGCTCTTCATCCTCTAGATCTGTTTTCCTTTTGTTATCATTTCTCTTCAGCCTGGAGTACTTCTTTAG